TTTGCATATTTTAATCACAAACATAAATATAAAATTAAATATAAAATTAATTAAAAGCGTAACTGTTCGTGCTAGTTTTTCTAATGTTAGTAATTGATCCAAAGCATCATGTAACTTTCCTTCACTTGCTAATTTTTTACATTCTGGAATTTTAACATCACAATTGCTACTATAATCCACCTCCATTTTTAAAATTTTATTAAAATCCAATAATCTTGCCCTTTATTAATTAGAAAAATAATCAATTAAAGTATTTAACATTAAAAATATAAATAAATTATAAATTTAAAAATATCAATAAGTTACCTTAATTGAAATATCTACAAATTGTAAAGCAAACTTCTTTCAATGAAATAATTCTGGTACTTTCTCTTTATCAAAAAAATTGTTTTATTTGATCAAATATAATAGGAAAATATAAATATTTTTTTTAAGAAATATTTTCTTCACATATGATTTTTTATATAAAATTCACGTAAATCTAAAATATTTCTCATTCCACATGACTTAAAATTGATTGTCATCCACCATTTGTAAAACAGTACCAATAAATGTTAAAGTTAACCACAGTCTACTTTAAATACATAGAAGCTATGATGTTAAATTTGGCAACATTGCTTTTGCTATTGGAATTGGAAGTCAATATAAATTTTTAATATGTAAATAATATATAAATATTATATATATTATATTATATATAATTATAATAAATAGAAATAATATATAAATATTATATGTTATAAAAGAATATATATAAATTTCAGATAAGTTTAAGGTTATAATGCTTATAACATTTATATTTAAAATATTTATATTTAAACAAATATTAGTATAATATATTATATTAGTATAATATTAGTATAAATTTAAATTATTTTATAAATAAAATTGTAATTTTTAAAAGTGAATAATTAAGTATATAATAAGATATTAAAAATAAAAATAAATAATAAAGATAATTCTTAAAAAAAATTATTAAAGAAAAGATCTTTGCAATCAATTACAAATATTAAATCATATTAAAAGACAATATTATAATTTAATACATAAAAGAAATATTATAATATTTAGAATAATATTTAGAAAAATATGATAAGTTTACACATCATCTTAATTAGGAATATTATCATAATACTATTTGAGTTTTAATGTGAGTGGTTTGCCAGTAATCATATTATTCTATTTTATAAAATAAAATTAAAAAAAAAAACATATAATAAAAATATAGTATTATACATAAATTATATATAGTACATAATATTTTACATAATACTTTACATAAAAAAATTCTACAATAATTAAAAAAAAAAATTATTAAATAATAATATATTATTATTTAATAATAATATATATAAAATTTTTAATTTTAAAATTTAAAATTTTTAAATATAATTTTTTCATACATTTCTAATTGATTATTGTTTATATTTTTCAGGTAATTATTTATGTGAAAAAAATCAAATGTTTAAAAAAACAAATAATAATTTAAACAAAATATAATAAATATGATAAACAAAATAATTTAAATAAATATGTAATTATTATATTATCATAATTATCATATACATATTTTTAAATCATAAATAATTTTAATTATTTAAATTAAATATTATTGTATAATAATTTAACTAAAATTTTTTATGATTTTTAGCATATAAAAATTAAAAAAATAATCATTATCATTTATTATCTTTTATTTTATTACTATGTCTTTATTTTATTGTAATTATTGTATATTATTGTATCTGTATAGATGAAGAAAATTATTAACTTTTTTAATAGTTAATAAAAAACAATTAATCAAAATATATATTTATTTACCTTTATTTTAATTTTATTAATTTATAATTAATGATTTATAAATATCATTTTTAAAAATGAAAAACAGATATATTCATAATTTTGAATAATTTGTACTCCATTTTTTTCAAAATCTTTCCTTTTTAACAATAAAGAAAAAATAATAAAAAATAAATTGATAAATTGAGAAAAATTGTAAAAAATAAATTGGAAAATTGAAAAAAATTATAGCAAAAATATTGTTTTTTTCTATAATTTTCAATGAAGTAATAAGCTAAAAAATAAAAAATTTTATAAAACATGAATTTTTCTAAATAATAGCAATTAATTACTTTTTTCTCATTTTTTGGAAATATAAAAATAAAAAGATAACTGTTTAATTTTATAATGCTATCATAATTTCCTTTGCAAAGGATAATACTGTAATATATTAATGTATAAAATTTTAATTAATACAAAAAATAAAAATATTATATATATGTAATAGTATTATTACTACTATTATAATATTATATATATAGTATATAGTATTATATATAGTATAGTAATACTCTTATTATACTATTACTACTATTATTAAATTACTATATTATATTATACAATATAAATATAGTATAAATAAAAAATGCAAAATGAAAAATATTATATTCCTCATACTATCGTATATTTTAATTTATCATAATAATACTATGACAAACACAAATTTCATAAAGTATTTTATAAAATCTCAGGAAAATGTAGAAATCCGAAATTAATAATTTTCAATAATAGAGACAATAGAGATAGCAAATAGCGTATATCGAATGAAACACGATATTAGTGATAAATATCAATAATATCAATAAACATCAATGTTTTTATTACAAATATTTATTACAAATATTTATTACAAATAGTTATTATTACAAATATTATCATCGATATTTTTCTTATGAATTTCAATTATTTCATAATTCATAATCATAAAATATAATTTCATTTTTTTTTTTAATATTTTTTTTTTTAATATAAAAATTTTTTTTTGTTTTTTATTCAGAAATTTTGAGATTTTAAGATTTAGGAAAGAATAAAATCTTTATTTTCAAATATATATATATTACACTTAAAAATATTTATTATTTATGTTCACATCAGAAAAATTGTTTTTAAAAACAGACTTACTTAATATTAATAAAAAAATGATTAAATAAAATGATTATGTTCGTCTAAATTAATATTAATTCAATTAATATTTTTAAATTGAATAAAACATTCCAAGAAAAAAATTTTTATAAAAATTTAATTGAAATTTCTAGAAACTTTTTATTTTTCAATTAAAAAAAAAATCAATATTACAAAGATCGATATTTTCACATTTTTTTATCACTTTTGTTTGATAAATTATCAAATCATCAAGGATCGAATTTGAACAGTGTTATCAACTTATAACTAAATTATAATATAAGAAAAATAATTATCAGTATTAGTGATAGGGAATTTAATTAAAAATAATAAATAAATACTTTAAAAGTTTTGTTTATTACGAAATAAAAAATCAATAATGAGATACTTAATATTTAGTAATTTTCAATTTATATTTGTTTTATTTTTAAAAATTCTTATTATATATTAATAATTTTATATTATTATATATATATATATAAGATATTTAAAATTATTATTTATTTATATTCATTATATATATAAGATATTTAAAACATTTATTATAAAATATTATTTGGATTTCCTTGAATTTTGACTAATTAATTACAATTAAATAAAAAAGTTTATTGTATGAAAAAAAATAAAAAAATTCGAAAAAAGAGAATATATATATTTTTGAAAATGTATATATATATTTATAGTTATATTTTATAAAAAATTATCATTTAAAAAAAATTTTTTTGGATTGAGTTTTTTTAAATTTAATTAAGATTCCTGCTTTGGGAAAAAAATGATTTTCAAGAAATATTACTTCAAAATAATAAGGATGAACAATTTTTCTGTTTCTTCGAAAGTCAAAGAATTGTCTGCTTTTATTATAACTTTTTTAAAATATATTGTCAAAATACTATATAATAATAGAATAATAGAAGTTGAAATGTTGATAGTTATTAAAAATCTTATTTTATTCGTAAGTTACTTTTTAAACTTCTCCTATATATCAAATTGTTTCACTTTTATAAAAATTTAATGAATAATAACAATAATGTAGTCAATCTTGTTTTCTATGTATATCGTTGCAGTTAAAGTATATCTAAATATTGGTTCGCTTTCTTCTCTACAAAACTTTTGTTTCTGTATATTCCTCATTATTATTTTTATTCTGTATGTTTTCCTTTACTCAAATATTGTATATCTACTTAGATATTTTTACAAAGAAAATAATTTTGATAAAAAATCCATTTAAAATTGGATAAAATAACTTAACCTTATCTGAGAAATAGATTCTTTTTTTTTGATTGTTCTGACTAGTTATTTTTCCAGTTACTTTTTTTGAAAATAGCTAGTTATTTTTATAGTTATTATAGTTAGTTTATTATAGTTAGTTTATTTTTTTTTCATCATAACCGTTGCAATTAATCCAAATAAAATATAAGTTTTAAAAAATTTTTTTTTAATATATATTATATAATAATTATATAATATATAATATATATTTTTTTAAAATATATTCCTTAACGAAAAATTATCTGAATTTAAAATGCTTGATGTTTTTTATTTTATTACTAATGTAATTGTAGTTAAAATTCTCTTATAAAACTTGAGTTTTCCTAGAATTTGCTAAAGTATTTATCTAATTATAAATATAAATAAAAAAAATTCAATTATCAATATTTAGATAGTTTAATTAAAATAGTTTATCTAAAATTGAAAAAAATTATTAATGATAAAAATCATAATAAAATTATTAATGATAAAAATCGAATAATTATTATTTTTTATGTTTTTTATTTTATTGTATATATAAATATTATATATATGAAAGATATTATTGCTGTTGTTACTAATGGTTAAAATTTGAATATTGCACCTATAATCCTGATTTATGCATAAAAAATTCATTTGTGATAATTTATTTCATGTATTAAAAATAAAATTAATGTTTACAAATGTTTACATTTTGCTTAATGTAAAAATAATTTTGTTATTTATTTTTCGATAATTCTATGTTTTATTTCAATTCTACATAATTCTACATTGATTAAATTTCAGTTTATGATTCAGTAATTTTCTAAATTTATGTAACCTTTTTTAATAATATTTATATGTATCAAATCAAGAGAATCAAAAATCAAACAATAAGAATTTGTTTTGTCTATTTTTCTTTTTTGACGGACATTTGAAACTTAACGTACATAATGACGGAGAAAGAAGGAAATGAATATGTTATAACTGAAATTATTGGTAAATCTGAAAAAATGGGAGAAAATTTAACAAACGAAGATGCATCTGCCAGTTTTGAAACAATTCATTCAGAAACACCATTAGTTCGAAATGGAGTTCAAATTACTTCTAAGGACAAAGCAAAAAGTAAAAGATTTCTTGTTTGCTAAAGACATAATAATAATTGAATATTAAAATATTATAATAAGAAATAATACAAAACAATTATTTTATTAGTATTTAATTTTTTAGTTGATATTTTGTTAAAAGCAACTGGAAATGCACCAATAATGAAACAAAAAAAGTGGTCTGTCAGTCAAGATTATTGTATTGGTCGTATTTCTGATTTTATTAGAAGATATCTTAAATTAGATTCAAATGAAAAATTGGTAAGTGTAAAATAAAAATTATATTCATCTTATATATGTGTAGATATATATATAAATATATTTTCTCTTTTCTTTATTAGTTTCTATATGTAAATCAAACATTTGCTCCTGCACCAGATCAAGCACTGAAAAATTTATACGATTGTTATGGTGCAGATGGAAAATTAATACTACATTATTGTAAAAGCCAAGCTTGGGGTTAAAATTATGCTTATATAATAATTTTATGAATTATTATATAAATACATTATATATATATTATATATGTTTAAGATTAAAAAATTTTATTATTGTATAAACATTATTTGATAAGTATTTAATGAATTTTCTAATTGCATTGAATAATATAAATTTTATCATAATAAATTTCATAATCATAAGCATCGTAAAGTAATATAGAAATATTATAATATACCAATTAAATGAAAATATTATTATATTTAAAGAAAATAATTTTTTATGTATTTTTTTTTTATTTTTTAAGTCATTGTAAATTTGTCGTATTGTAAATGATATTATATAGAATACAGTAAAATACATAAAAATATAATTTTTCAATTTAAAGTTTTGTTTTTTAAACAAAAAATATAAAATATAATTTCATTAAGATATTCATTAAAATATTGTTCAATGAATTTAGAAATTATAAAAAAAATAAAAATAAATTTATTTTTCAAATTTAATGTTGAAATAAATTTTTTGCTATAAAGTTATTTCAAAATTTCAAAATATCTATTTTCGATAATTGGAAATAATATTTTGAAAATCTAGAAATTCAATATAAAATATTGAAAATATTCATGTTAAATATTCATTCTTGTTAAATATTCATTATAGTAGACCATTGAAATATATATTTAAATTAAACAATTTTATATCATTAGATATATTTTTGATTTGATTAGATTTATTTTCTTTTTTTAAATCATACAACATCATTATTTAATTGCATTATAAATATTTGTTAATCTATAAATAATGTAAAATTCATAATAATTAAAACTTTTATTAAAGTTTTAAAAAAATGGTTAAAAGTAACAATATCAGATTTGTTTTGTATAAAAACTATAGTAAAAAAATAATATAAATTTTACAACAGCAGCCTTCTACTATATTCTTTCAAATGTACAATTTTTAATTTTATTCTGATTTTAGTAATTTAATGTCTTATTCTGTTAATAAGTTATATTTTGCCATTTTAGATGTATGTAGCAATATAATTGTATAATTCAAGAAGGATTTGAAAAATGTAGATATTTTTCTAATGTTTTTGTATGAATTTCATTTATTAATTATTTATTTAATATATATTAATAGTATTATAAAAGTTATTTACTTTTACAAATATTAAATGTTAATTCTTTAATATAATAGTTGTATATAATGTTGATATTTTTTAAAAATTATGATTTCTCATATGCTTTGCCTTTTTTTCTAGCAAAAATAAAAATACAAAATAATATTATAAATATATAATATGATAAATAATATAGTCACAAAAATAGCAAAAAAAATAATCTTTGAGATATATTTTATAGAGTTCTAAACAAATCCATTTATATTATGCCTATCATTCACAAATAGATATAAAACATCAAAACAAAAAAACAACAAAAATATAAATTTTCATGATATTCTATTATTAGTGCTCTAGATTTTTTAAACCATTTTTTAAACCAATTATATAAAATATGCTTAATAGTGATAAAATGATGTAAAGATAATTAGGAACAAAAATATATTTTATACAAAATAAATTGAAATTTTAGGTAAAAATTTTTTTGTTTTATATTACGATATTTCTTTTTTTTCTTTTTTATGATATATTATATACATTTTTGTTTCAAAAATATTATTTTATTATTGCAAATTTAATGAAATTTATTGAATATTAAATTATATTATAATAATATTACAATATTTAATAAAAAATTATCATAAAAATTTAATTCATATCAAAAAAAAATAATATAAATATCATTTTCAGATCATAATATTGAATTCATCATCTTGAATTTTTTATTTTTTAGATTCATTATAAATATTTGATAAATTGTAGTTCTGAAAAATCTCAGTGACTAATTGACAAAAAAGAGAGGCTAGAAGTTAAAGTTGGAGCTTAAATATAAAATTTTAACTTGAGATATTTATTAATTTCTGAGATATTTTTAATAATATATATTGAATTCTGATTATATGAACATTATTAATACCACTGTCTTTACTGTTATTAAGTATTTAATAACTAATAATCTTGATAATTTATAAAATCCTATATAAAAGCTTCAATTGTTTTTATGAAAAATCATAAATATTGACATCTTTCTCACAGAAGCTGCTTTTAAATTCTAATCTAATTTAATAGCATTATTTTTATTCAAAATCTGTCCAAAATAATAACATTTATATATTAAATGCTTTTACTTGCAAATTCGTTTTTTTTTCTATTTCCATTTGTATATTATATTTGACATTAATAAATCAAATTTTTTGATCAAATTTTTGATGGATTATATATAAATTATCTTATAAAGTCTGATATAATATAGCTAAACTTTATTGGTTATTAATTCAATATGGTTATTAATTCGACGATTACAAATATCAGAAGATTATTATATTAATAATATCTAAATAATAAAATTTGATATATTAATAATCTTTTAATATATGCTTTCAATATATAATATCAAAAATTTTTTATTAATGTCTCAGAAAAATAATAAATATCTGAAAAACTAAAATTTTAAATATAATGTTTATCTCTCCAAATTTTTTATTGATCAATGATCGAAATCTTTCGAAATTATAACTACTTTTTGATTTTAAAGATCCATTGATTGAATTTTTGAATTTTAATTACTTTTTTGTCATTTTTTTCATAATTTATTGTGCGTCGTTTTTAAGAAAAATCGAATTAAAAAATTTATCAATATTTATGTCAATCAATGAATCAATTTTATTTTATTTTTATTTTATAATCAATTTATTTTATATTTGTTTTTCTCGAATACAAATTTTTAAATAAAAATTATTTTTTATATTTTTAATTTATTTGCAACTATAAAATAATTTTTGTTCAATTTTTTTATTCTCATTCATTATATATATATATATATATATATATATATATACATAAGTAAAAAATTAAAAAAATTATCATTTTCAATTTATTTTTCCATGGAAATTATTTCTAATTATTTCGTATACAGTTATACCTTATAAAAACTTTATAAAAAATTGGAAAGAAAAATTATAAAGAATAAATATTTAAAAGAAAAACATCTAATTTATTTTGAAAAATAGTAAATTAAAAAATAATGATTTTGAAAAGAAGTTTCATGCAAAAAATGTAAATTTAATTTATTAATTTTGGAAAATTATATTGACAAAAATAGATTTTAGCTGAAAATATCATTTTGTATACATACAAAATTTATGTATAAGATTATATAATTTTGTATGTGGATGAATAAATGAACAGAGTTTTAATCCTCTATTATTTCGCATATTTTTTTTTCAGACACATATTATATATATAGTACATATTATATATATAATTATAATGTTAATTAATAATAATATTTATAGATCTATAATCTATTTGTAAGATATGGAGAGTTAATTCTGATAAATAAAATAAACAGAAAAATTAATGTTGACTAAACTTTAATTTATCATAAAAATATTGAATAAAATTACTTATTAAATTAAAAGTTATTTAAGTTATAATCAAGATATAATTTAAGTTAGATGAAGCAAAGTGAAAATAATAACAATAATAAAAAAAAATAGCATAATTAGAAATATATAGTATATAAGAACTATTTATTTATTAAATTATAATAATTTAAATGTATTAAATAAAATAAAATAGATACTTGAGATATATATTTCTGTCCATTTGAATCTAATTAATATTTAAACTATTATAATTTCATGAAAAAAAATTGTACCATTCATTCAGTTCATTTTAAAATATTAAGTTTCTATTTTCAGAATGATATTTATGCATAATATAAAAATGAACATAGGTTTTTTTCGTTAAAAATTTTGCAAATTTAAATTTAAATTTTCTATGAAGATGAAAAAATTTTTTTTATGACTAAATTCATCACAGATTTGAAGATTAAAACTTCTCTTTTAAATGATTCTCCAAAATTCGCTGTATGATTTTATTTAGTCATTCTATTGAATTTTGAAAAATATGCAAACCTGTTTTTCAATCAAAAAGTCTATATTTCTTCTTTTTTTTCTATATAATACAAATGTAATAAAAAAAAATTAAGCAAAAATTTAGAAAGTAGTTTCATATTTTAAATTGAACATGGGTGGATTGTTGCACATTTTTTTTTTATAAAATTATAATAGTTTAGATATCAATAATTTTTAATAAAGATTCAAATATTTAATTTATGGATAAGAATGTATATTTATTTCCGAATAAGCAAATCTCCATCTTATTTCATCCATTGTAAACTTAAACTATTTATAAGTTAACAAATAAATCTCAGTTAATATTTTCATACAGTAATTTTTGTTGATACCTAAAATCGATCTTTAAAAAGTACTCTATAAATATATTAATATCTTTAAAAAGAGATTAAAATAAAGAGATTAAATTAGATTTTTGAAAGAATCATTTTTTTTTATCGCTATTTACATAATTTGTTATTGAATTATTCAATATTTATATTAATGTGTTATTTTTTTATTTGTATTATTTTATTTGTATTTTTTTATTTCTATATAGTTCTGCCCGTATAAATAAAATATCTATAAAAATAAATAATAAATACATAAAAATATAAGATATAGGATTTTTATGTGATTCTTTTATATAAACATTTTGATATAATTTTTATATGAAATGAAATGATCATTGAATTTATTAATGATTATTATGAATTGATAGATTAGATTTTAAAAATCTATATTTGAAATATTTGAAAAATGATAAAAATATTTATTATTTACATGAAACTTATTTACAACATGATCTACAAATCATATTTATGATATCTATGCTATTGATGATTATTAAAATTTGTTATTGTTTATATTATTATTTCTTTATTAATTTTTCTGAAAAAGGATATTTCCAAATCATTATAGCACCGTCCGCACTTGCCGTGACAATAAATGTATCATCTGGAGCAAAGACACAACGAGTAACCGCGGCAGCATGTGCAAGACTTAAACGAATAGTATTAGCAGTGCGATATTCCCATAATTTGATAATAGAATCATCTGATCCAGTGAGAAAATATTGTCCATCGTGACTAATACTTATAGTATTTAACGTTCCAGTAAGTGAACCTTCAAC